CGATTTGATTTTATTCTCCACACAAGCAAAGGGAACACATCACAGAGGAGTTAATTTCACAGATAAATACAGAGCCCATGTGTTACTTACAAACATCCCAAAAGAGAGAAGTCTCTGCCGATCCCTCCCTTTGTACAGTGTTCAAAATATATATCTGTGCATGTTCCAAGAAGACTGTTACAGCCTCTCCATGCTAGGAGGAGATGCTGCCTCGAAGGGGCAGGAGAGCACATGGGCAGATGTCCATCCACACAGGTAACACACAGATCATGTGGGGTCTCATCTTCCACCTTGGTGCAGCTGGTGGTGTTTGCAAGGCGCACGCTGACTGAGCATTACTGGCAGAGGGGAAGGATGGTTATACCTTCCTCTGACTCACCTGGCACCAGCCCCTGGCCAAGATAAGCTACCCACAGGCATTAGGGCCGCAAGGGACTGTTACGGACATCTCGTCTGACTTCCTGTAGAGCACAGGCCGGAGAATTCCACCAAGTGACACCTGCATCAGGCCCATAACGGGTGGTTGAATTGGGGCATCTTTTAGAAAGCCACCCCGCCTCGCTGCAAAAAGCCCACCTGATGGAGAAGCCGCCCCATCCCTGGGGAAGCTATTCCAATGGTCCATTACCAGCACCGGTAACAATTTGCACCATATTTCCAGTTTTAACTTTGCCAACTCCTGCTCTTGGGTCTTGTTCCACCTTTGCCTGCTAGATTAAGGAGCCCTCCAGTTTCAAATATCTTCTGCTTGTGCGGGTAACTAACTAGATGGATCAGCCACGGGCTCGGATGCAGCAAACCCTACAGGGAGAGACGCTGTGCTGCTTTTCATTCATGTTCTCTCAGTCATACCCTGCCTGGTTCACCCACGCCAGGCTGATGACTGCAAATACCTGTTTCCCCGATCGCTTCCTGCCACGCGGCCCCTCATCACTGCCTTACACAATGGGGTGGGCATCTCTCACAAACAACGTTGGATAGGCATAGAGCGTTTGGATACAAAACTGTGTAACCTGTGCTAACAGTGCGACTTCGTCCCTTAGTGGTGACACCATGTACACAGGTTTAGGAGTGTTACTGGCTGAGCTAACAGACTTGGTCCTTTAGCTCAAACAGTAGCAGCCCACGTTTCTCGAGCCAGAGATCGCAGGTTCAATCCCTGTCGACGGACCCATCCAGGAGCAGTGTTATACATACAGCTTAGAGAGCTCAGCAAGAGAGTGGCTGCTCTGAGGGTTTAAAGATCCTCAAATTCAAGGCTTGGGGGAACTGAATTCAGTGTAGCCAGCCTGGTAGAAGCCGTTACATTAATGGCCCTGACAACTGGACTCTTCCGTGCCCAGAACAGGACACGCTACTCCACCGCTGTCTCTGCTCTACGCTTGAGGATCGGCCGCTTCGGCCGCTTCCCGCAGCCAAGCACCCGGGGCTGTGGGCACATTGGCCGGACCCGGGATAGCCAGCGCACCCTCCGATCTCTGGCCGTGTCCACTGAACTCGAGAGTCCAGAGCCAAGACCCACGCAGGCCTCCAGCTAGACTACAACCCCGCAGACCGAGGGCTTCCCAGAGCTGCTGCCTGCCACAGGGATCAGCTGGGAGAAACTCTGCCTCACGGGAGGTTTCAAGAGCCCAAAACATCATCTCCGAAGGTGACCCAGCTGTGTGCTGTGGGGATACCAGCCCGCCAGGGAATGCGGCAAGTCTGCCCCAGCGCGGCTGTCATGTCAGCCTGGGCATGGCCTGGAGGCCCTAGTGGTGAAAGGCTTCATATCCCGTGTCCAAGACCCACTTCAGAGTCAGATGGTGCCCCCAGACTGGAGTCAGCGCCCAGGAGGGCTGGGCTCCAGATCCCATTCCCAGCCCCCCCGCCATCCCCCCGAGTCTGGTTTTTGGCAACTAGTTACATCCTCTAGCCCTCTCCCCTTAGCAGCCTCCTCCTGATACACTGAAGCCAGAGGAGCATCCGTAAAGATCAGTGCAGGGTCGGGGTCTGATCATTCTCCCGTCTGGTGTCACTCCCAGCTGGTCCAGGCCTGGGAGGGAGGAAGCTGGCTAGGCCCCCCTCCCCGTGCTCCAAGACCACACAGGA